TCATCCGGGACTCGTTGTTTACATTTTGTGCAGTGTTGTTTAAATTATGGGATTTTCCTCTCCCTCTCATATTTAATCTATCGTTATTGTTTAATCATAAGAATACCGCGATTTACATGATTTCGAACCTCGGTTAGGTCCTCACATAGATATTGGGTGCTCTTTTATAAAAACTCGAGAATGGTCTATAAAAGAGCACCCAATATCTATAGCTTGCTACGGAACAATAAACAGCGTAAAAAAGGAATAGAAAGCTGGGGTATATAAAATGGAAATATATAATAGAAAAAAATAATGGGACTTGAAAGCCCTTAATCATGTTTCTTTCTAGTTAGCTTTGTTTTCTATGTTTTATTTGTTTATTTAATATACACACTTCTTTCAATTTATTTCAAAGTTAAATTATTTTTTTGAATTTTAAATATGTAAAATATTCAAAAACGGTACGTTCCATTTTGGAACATTTAGTCTATAATATTAAACCTGACGATGGCCTATATTAGATACGGTGAAAACATTCGTAAAAATATAAGAATTTTAAGCTCAGCAAAATTAAATGTTGGTGAAACTAAAGTGAACCAACAAAACAACCTTTCGCACGAAACTAAAATGAATTAGTTGCTAAGAGGTGGATAGATATGAAGTTATGTTTTAGCATTTCCTCATAAGATATCTTTTGCGATCACCCACACATTTTAAAATGTCACAAAGTGTAATCATCATGACTTAAACAACTACGAAATCAACTATGATTAATGTCGGATACAAATGCGGATGAAACGTTTTGACTACAAAGAAAAAAGATATTAAAAGGACGACACACATGTAACTCTCGTATGTTGCCACGCACACGATACCCTTTCTGACAGCCATTTTGGTCAACTCATACGCCACCTATATTTACTGGCACAAGCGAATAGCTGTCATTTAGTGATCCGAATTCGAAGTCGCTCTAGCTGTATTCGGACGGTTAATACGAGGTACGTGGGTTACTTATGCTCCTTTTTCGATCGTCGCATCGGTGTTCTGTCTACTGAATCGTGAGGTTTTTGTTTATGTTTAGTTAGCTGTTGCTGAGAGGATCATTTTGATTTATATTTTGTTTTTTCTGGAATAATATAAATTAAGTTACGGGTGTTTTGTGCCGCGAGCACGTGGTCACTATCGGGTCGCACGTGACCGTTTGGTATTCTTTTTGGCACTTGTGCAGTTTAGTGGGTACGGCTGTTTGAAAGGTTCTAGACTAATTTCACTCGAATATTTCCAAAACACGTATAATGTTTTGGGAATAACCCATATAAAATATGTTATAAACAAAATATTGTCGGAATACTTACCAAGTGCACTTCGTTCAAAGACGCCATTGTTTAAGCTTGTTTTCGTCGCGGAGCGGCACATCGGCGTACGAAGCTGTCATGTAACCTTTGTCGGTGCTGTTCGGTCACGTGCCTTTTTTTAACGTTAATTAAGTGTGTTATTGAATAGCGGGCATTCCGCTGTAATCAGCAATACTTTTCTTTTTGTTCTACGGGTATTTTCCGTCTGTCGTATTTGTGATCAGTCCGGGGCCCTTAGTCTCGAGTTTTTCGTGTTACAACTCCCAAAATGTGTTGAAGGTGTCACGTGGTACCATCTCGCACTCTGACGTCAAATTGGTAGTCTAGAGTTCTAACTTACGTGCTTTCCCATCTCACCATGCAAGTTGCAACTCACGTTGAGTCGAGCATGTGAGATCGCTACACGAAAGTGAAAATGGCTGATGGATACGCAATTCTTATCGCTATCGAAGAGTTAGAAAGAGCCGAAAGACGTTGTTTGAGAAGACAACGAATTTTTCGACCACAGTAGATGACATTTTTTTTCGCATCAAGTCAATACTAATAAAAAAATTTTAATTCATAATTGATAAAATTATACAGCAAATTTTTCCAAAAATAAAAAGAAGTATCTAATTAATCGAAAAAGAGTATTAATTAAAATGATAGTAAATTATATGTATAAATTATTAAAAGCGTAGACACTATATTAAGATTATTAATCAGAAGTGTTAAGTTATAATTAATAAATAATCTTAATAGACAAAACAATTTAAGAAATAGATCGAGGAAGAAAACTGTATGAAGAAAGGATTAAATTAAAATACTTTTTCCATTACATAACGGATTTTTTAGCT